TGAAATGTCCGTGGGCAAGCCGTCGTTTGCAGGCCATGAAAAAACCAACGACAAGCTGGCAGCCTGGCAACCTGGCAGCCTGGTAGTCACACCCCCTCACAGACGTAGGGGCAAGTCAAGTTGTCCTAGACGTGGCTGCCGTCGCGTCAGCCGCGGCAACTGCGGCGCACTTTAAGCGAATTTCATTTGTCTGCAGCGTCAACCACTTGACAATCACTCACGTGGCCCAGCCCCAGCCCCAGACCCAGGCCAGACCAGCCAGCAGCTTCCTGCATCCAGCAGCACCAAAGGCAGCAGCAGCAGAGGCTGCAGTACCCCCGTAACTCCCTTGAGCTGTCTGGCCCGAGCGGCTGGTTGTACTGATGTTGTTGTTGTTGTTGTTGGCTTGGTTGGTGTTAACAAGTTCCCATGTAGCCGCTTAAATATTAACGCACACACTTACACACATACAGACATATATACACACATGTCGCTGCTGTCGTCAACGACGTCGACAACTGTAAATAAATACTCATAGAGCACACGGCACAAGATCTTGTGTGTCATTGCACTCGACGCTTGTTGGTTGCTGCCGGTAAATTCCCTAGAGACAGAAAGAGAGAGAGAGCGAGGGCGAGAGTGAGAGGGCATGTCTCAGCCTGGTCAAGACACAAGCCAAATAAGTAAAATATTTGCCTGGAAACCGCTACAAATCATTAAAATCATCGAAATGCCAACTGGATATAATTAACTGCAACTCAATTCCCACCATGTGGCTGGTGTGGCTGCTAGGCAGCAAAGAGGGGTGCGAGGAGAAGGCTCTGACATACTCAATGTCATGCCAAAGCGAACGCGTCAATGCAATTAGAGCCAGCTCGGGCAGTCGTCCTGGCTCATTACGTGCCAAAAAAAAAAAAAAAAAGTGGAGAAGAAATTGCTTGGCAGGCACAAGTGGGCGCCAAGGCACGCCGTCGACCGTGTTAATTGCTGCAAATGCCCGAGGTATGCAACCTGCCGCCTGCTGTTGCTGCTCCCGCCCTTCCATACACCTCTTTTGTGCGGCACACTCGCATATGATATTGCCTTTGTGGCAGCAATTGTTGCTGTTGTTGTTGCTGCAAAATTTATGCTCGCCTGTGGCCGCCAGCCGACTGCTGCTGTAGCTGTGGCTGTGGCTATGTGCACCAGACACACGAACACACACTGGACACATGTGTGTAAATGCTTGAACATAATTGTTCCGGGCATAAGGAAATATAGCGGCATTCGGCGTATTAAATTATTTTATTGACGCATATCTGGTGGCTGACTGGGCATTTCTTCAATTTGGCAATAAACTCTTTAATGTTTTATTAAATTGTGTGTACGATTCTGAGAACTTAATTATGTTGCTTGCCATTGGTTGGGATCTGTCTTCTGAAAATCGAACATCATTAGCTCTCAGTTATTTAAGAAGAAGTCTAACCAAATAAATCCCAAAGCTCATTTCATTTTCCAGCTCATTTGAGTGCCAATGCCACAGCTCAGCTTCATAGTCAAATCTAGAAAGAGCAAAAAATAAAAGTGAAATGTGGAAAAAAGTAAGAGAAAAAGGTAAATCACTGCTCGACAAAATGTGTCAGAGAGCCTCCCCTCAAAACTCAGGCAGCAGCCCATTTAATCATCATTTAGCCGGTATGAGGGATGTGGGATGTGGCGCTCGCCGAGCAATCCTTCTGCCTTTTACAGCACACAGTTTACCTTTAGCCATTTGCACTTTTCGATGCTTTCACGTTTTTCATCATCATTACCAGCAGTCTCCACGCAAACAACAACAACAACATAAACAACAGCAACAGCACAGACCGCCATTTGCGCCAAAAGTAATAAATAATTTCGTTTAGCCCGGCAACAGACCAAAAGAACTGGAGCACTGAGACGCCAGCTACGCAGCAGCTTCCTGTAGCTAGCTGGAGGAGGATGAATGCATGAATGTATGGGCATGTGCTAAAAGTTTGTTTGCTTTACTTTTCGGTGTTACTTCCGCAAACATCAAATGTGGCCCCACATTTAGGTGGGTTGGGCGGAACGGAGGCGTGGCATTCATTGAAATATGACAAAATGCTGTTTGAGACATTTTCAGTTATTGATACGCCCGTCAGCAAGCAGCAAAAAAATAAAAAGAGAAAATGGGATGCAGTCAGGCAAGGAGTCGACCTTATGACTGTACCATAAATATGTGCCTGTGTGTGTGTATTTGTGTCTGGGTACTTATTAATAATAAATCCAAACGCTAGTGCGAGAGACTGTAGTATAATCCGCCTGAAATTGAAAGCAAAGTTTGGGTTTTGCTGCTTGCCTGATAAATAGACAGATTTCGCAATGGTTCGGTCGATCAGGCCGCAATGTTCGCTTTGGCCGTTCTGGTTGGCCAATGCCACACACGCACTTTATCACAAATCAAGCCAACTTTTTCTTGGTGTGCCCAAAAAATCACGCCCCACACACACACACATATATACCCGCACCGCCCCCTGAACACTTTGCTCACTGGTGATAAATTTGAAGGCAAAAGAAATTATGAGGGTGTCGTCGCTGGCTGCTCCTGATGATGTCCTGTTGTGCATAAGACCAGGCCTAAAGATATGACGCTATAAATATGCCGAAGCTATAAATTTTCTTAGTGCCTTGTTAGGCGGAGGGATGACGGATAGAGGGTGGGGTGTACCCGCTCAAAAACCGATCAATGTCATATTTATCACATGTCTTCAACTTTTGGGCTTAGCTTTAGTGGTTGCTGTGGCTAACGCATCGATTTGTGAGCTATAAATATTTTTATGGTATATATTGGGTATATTTCTCTGCAGTATATTTAAAATTTCAATACGCATAAATAACTGAGCATTAAAGTATGCACAATTTGTAAAAATATTGTCATAAAAACGCGATTCACAAATGAAAATTGTAATTTCCGCTGTGCGGCTGCAAGTGCCGCGCTGTGGCATGTTGCTACTTCTCGTTGTTGTTGTCGTTGTTGTTGTTGCGGGTGGTGCACGCAGCGTCTCTGTTGTGAAGTTGAACGAACTGCCGTTTGTCCGCGTTTGAATGCAATTAAAATTGCATGCAGCACCATTCATAGTGACTGTCATTCACATAAATATATATATATGCCTCATGAAAAAAACATGCATACACTTATAAATTTTAATTGAGGCATGTTGCCGCTGTTGCTATGCTCCCGTTGACAGAGTGACCAAGTTAAAGACACTTGTCTGACACATGTCAGTTTGTCTGACAGTCAGTCAACCGACTTTCCATTAATTAGGCATCATATTTCATTAGCGTAATGAGCGCCTTGAGTGTGAGCGCCGCCTGTGAAATGTGCCAGCTGTGCGCGCTTGAATACAACAACTCTATCAGCGGGCAACGGCAACGGCAACGGCAGAGGCAGAGGCAACGGCAACTATTGAAATCCTAAGCAAAGGCCATGCAAATCTCATAGCCGCAACTATCATCAGCAAAAGCTAAGCCGTACCTCGCCGCTCTATGCAAAGCAAGAGACCTCCAGCTGAAGCTCTTCTCCAGCTTGCAGTTGGCTGTCATGTGAAATGTGTGAAATGTTAACATGACTTGCTGCCTCTTGCCGCTCTTCTTTTTTATGTGCTTGTTGCCCCTTTCGCCGTTGCTTTTCATTATGCGAAATGTACACTAATTATTTTGTAGTTGCAACAGACGCTGCCACAAAAGGCTGTCAGCTAGATTTGAAGCCGCCTCAAAGCGCAACATAGCATAAATCTCAAAAGGAGCAACATTTGTATGGTCGAATTTTTACAAACAGATCTGAAAAAATTATTTGTTAGTCTGTTTTCTTACAATTTTCACTAAGTGCAAAATCGGGCAAATCACATAGCTTTCGGTTGTCATTAGTTAATATTTATACAACACTTTGTTCCCACAGAATATATATAAACTGTTCATATTAAAAATCACTGCAGAGTTAATAAATACAATATAAGAGTAGTCCCACAGTCCCCAAAACCAGCTTGAGAACTTTAACTTAAGCACATAGAGATATTATCAGGCGTCAGTTTATATATTATATATATAAATAAGGCCACCTAGGAGATTGCCAGCTTAAACAAACCTTAAATCTTTAATGGTAATAATGAAATTTTTTTTTAATATTTTCTTTATTTAAGCTTATGTATATATTGCCTTTATAATGGTTGAGTTATGTAAATCTAAATTAAATTAACATCATATTTCGAATATTAAATGTGTTCTTATATACCAGCGGCTTAATTTAGTTGCAATCCCCAAAATTGCCAAGAGCTTAAAGCACAAGCGCATTTGCTGCTGGCGCTGCTTCATTTTCTATGTATACTATAAGTATCTCTAATGACATAATCTGCTTTTAGGCAACAGTAAAGATGAGCGAGGGGGGGGGGGTCAGGAGTAACACTCACAGAAGCGACCTTTAACTAATCCGCTTAAGTGACTTTGTTGCTGTTTTTGTTTTTGTTGCTGTTGCTGCTATTGTTGTTGTTGTTGTAGCTGCCTCGTGCATATTAAACTTATCGCTGGCAACAACCGCAATTATAAAATTATAATGATAATACTCGACTGGGGAGCGGCGACTGCTGACAGTTGGTTTGTCATTGCCAGTCCTGTGGTTTCTGTCGTTGTAGTTGCTGCTGTTGCTGATGATGTTGCCGCGATCTGCGGCATAGATAAGTGCCAACAGCTTTAACACAAGCCAAAGCCAAAAAGAGTTATTAAAACAAGACTCCTGCGCCAGTTGCTTGCGTTGACATGCCAGTGGCTCAGCTCAGCGGTTCCTCTTCTATCTAAAGGTGTATCTCAAAGCAAAACCCGTTTACAGCTGGCTAATTGCAGCCAGCATACAGCGACTCGAATGATAGAATGATAGCAAACACATAACAACTATTTATTAATTATGTGCACAGTTTAATTGCCACTTTCTATACAACTCACAGTCACACTTACTATATCTGTATATTTATCTCCATCTTTACTTGCAGCTCTTGTGGCTCTCACGCGAAAAATGCTGACAATATTGTATGACGACGCGGCGCATACGCAATTTGCTTAAATTTCAAAGAGGTGACAAAAACAAACAAAGAAACGGCCACAATATGAATTGCCTGTGCCGACCTTCGCGAATAATGTCCGTGCGCATTAACTTGCTGGATGAAACCGACTTTATACACGAAATCAAGGTAAGTGGGTGCCACAAATGACACCCTTTGGTGTCAACATTAGCCACATAAGCAGCGTCAAGTACGGCAAATGACAACGACACGAATATCCGAAAACTACACACACGCGCAAACTCTGCTGCTCCGCTGCTTCACATGGCCTGTGATTTATGTCAATTGACAAAAAGTGTTGCATACTTTGCACGTGCTTGCCATATGCTAACCGTCATATGGCTCAACCTCAACCCCAACCCAACCCTTGGCGCCCATCGCCTGGCACCCTCATCAATATTTAGTGCAGAGCCTGAGCCGCAGCCTGTGACTTGGCAAACATGCAAAGTGTCATCATTCACACGTCGCCTGCTGCTGCTGTTGCTGCCACACTGCCAGAGACTGTGGTTGCCATGCCCCCTGCTTTAAAACTGCGCACGTTTGCCAAATTAAATGGGTCGTCAGCGACGACAAGAACTAAGAGATGAGAGCTCCGAGCTGCCTCATCGTTGTCGCCTTTTGTCTGTCTATGTCGCTTGGAAAATTCTGCTGATGCTGCACGCCATCTCATAGTTGGCATCATTGTGCGGACAAATCAAATAAATAGTTGTTATTTTCTCATGTGTATGCGTGTGTGCGGGTGTGTTTGTGTGTGTGTGTGTGTGGCATGGTTTTTGGGCTCCGATTTCAGCAAAGCTTTGCAAAATTTCATTCAAGCATGCAGCATAAATAACTATATAAAATGCCCAAGAAATCACAAACGTTGCCCATGGCCATTGGCTGAGGCATAAATTTGACGCTGTCTTATAATTAAAAATATTTGTTGATTACAAGTCCAGCCGCAAATGCGGGCTATTTGTACAAACAGAAATCAGATAAAGACAAATTGAGAGCATAGTATTAAAATAACATAAAATTAAATATCAAATAAAAGTAGACAAAACAAAAAACGACTGACATGAATTGTGGTTACAAAATACTAAAAGTTATCTGCTTTAATTAAATTTTGCAAAAATAATTTAAGTCCCTGTTTCATTACAGCAAACAATATTTTTAAGGGACTGCCCAAATATTTTTGTAAAATCATTAAAGAACTGCTTTTATATAGTTTCTGAAATGTATTACAACTGAAGAAAAACCCTAGAAACTGTAGGTATTGACTATATTTTCATAGGCTTTTTGAGATGCAGTCAAAGACCAGGCCACCTATAAGAAAATGTGTAAGGGTATGCCACTATATTGTTTTTAATTTTTAATGAATTATCTTCTTTTTAATGAAATAACCTTTTGTCAATTCCCAACCAAGTGCTCTGTGCCACCTCAGATAAGTGGAACACAATGTGACATGATAAGCATACTTATACATATATCTTATGCAAATGCATGTCATCAAGGTTGCCTGTGGGGTCTGGGACATAATGAGCAGTGTGACTTGAGAGGCCTGCCGGTTAATTATATGCCTGCAGATACACCAGTCTCGGCCTGAGCATAAAGATACTTACGTGTATCTGCATAATCAGAGCGGTTGATCGGTGAGGCGCCCACGGCATAGTGTTCCAGTTCAGTCCTGATTGATCGAGCAGGCCAATGGAACGACAGGCTAGTTAGCAATTCTTGGAACTGACTAATGACACTTGGCGTCGCGTTGAGCTGCCAAGTTGCATGTTGCATGCTTAAAGTTTTTACTGAATCTGCTGCTGCGGCTGCTTCAACTGCTTCAACTGTTGCTGCTACAGAATTGAAGCACGTAAACGTTAATAATCGCAGCTCATCAACAAGACATTTATAATAATTTTACAACCACATGCACTTGCCAGCCTCAACAAGTCTTAAATACAATCCACCACAAGTAGATCCACAATCCACCGCAGTAAGCCACCAAATCGACTGAAAACAAGCGGCTCTAAGCTACTCAAAGCGACTTTGCCTAGGCCCCCTACTCACCCCCTAACTAACTGGCTGGCTGGCTGGCTGCCTGGCTGCCTGCCTGTTGGCTAGCATAAATTGCGCATTAGACATGTGTTACGATTCAGGCGTTGTGTTGTGGGCGTGTCCCACAATTTGACAATGGCAACCTGGGCGGACAACCACTGGCAGTCGTCGCTATCGTCGTCGTTGTCGTTGTCGGCGCAGCGCGGCGCGGCGCACGCCTCGGGTCATTATTAATGAGTTTAAACTGGCAACAGGGACAGAAATTGCAAATAGGGGGGGTGGGGGCCAGTGGCGGGGCACACATTTGTCTCTGGCCTGCACTCGGGCAACTTATCGCATGTAATTATTGGCCGAGAGGCTCACGTACCATGTCAGCCGCATGATTGATAAAAGGCTCGCCGACAAAATACCAAAAAATCAACCATGAATGAAATTACGCGGCACAAAGTGCTGCGGCTTGACGAGATATGCAAAGCAGTGAAAAAAAATAGCTGCCATTTTAATTAGTAAAGACCCAACTATTAGATACTCTACAAAATTGTATAGAGTAGTTGGATGCCAGTCTTTGTAAAGTTTTGAAACGCCTTTAGATCTTAAAAACTGTATCAACTGTTAACTAGTTCAGCTTTAAGGAATGCTTAAAAAAAGTCATTGATTTGTATCTTCATTGGATTTTGTTATATACCCCTTAAAGTGCTGTTGGTTGGGGTATGGAAATGCGTGTGGCCGGCTTGTTGTAACGTAATTTTATTTACGCGTGCACTTGTCCCAGCTGTCTGTCAATGTGGCAACTATGTCGACTGCTGCTGCAGCTGCGGCGTTGTTGTCTGCGCCGCGTTTGACGGCTGCCGATGGCACTAAGAGCACGCACTTAAAGTCGCCATTGCACGACTGCAGTTGTGTTAATGAAACGGTGGAGAGCAGGGGGCAGTTACTGTTGCGGCAGCCAGTAGCTTGCGGTTGACTCGTTTTGCATTTCATTGCGACGAACTGGTAAACTGCTGTTGCTGCTTTTATCAGACTAACAGCAACAACAACAACAAGATACAGATACAGATAGGCACATCCGCGACATCAGTCAATGTTGTGCGACTGCCTCGACAACGTGTCGTAATCGATATTTCATTGCCATGACGAGCAGAGCGCACGTTGCGTATGATTGATTTTTGCTATGTGTGCAAGATGAGAAGGCTACAAACAAAAAAAAACAAACACACACACACACACACACACACATGTACACATAAATGGGATAACTACGACTGTGGCCATGATTCAAAAAACATGTCTACAGATATCGAATACCTTAATTTATGATGTATGTAGCAACCGTTGGAAATGATGTCGATGTCGATGTTGCATGTAAACATAAACCATTAGAGTGCTCGCAGTCTGTTTCTTGCCTCATCATTTTTAATTAATCGGACATTTTTGCTTGCTATTCAGCTGACTCGGAATGTTGTTAGGAAGAGATACACAGAAATGAATTAAAATTGATTTAAACATCCAACTTTATAACATAACATATAAGTTTTATAAAAGTACAGAATCCAGAGAAACCGCAATAATTCAGCTTGTCTAACAAATTCCTAGCAACATTATTTTGTTTTGTTTGGCACACAATTGAAATTTAACCGAAAGGAATAATAAACCTAAAGCCATGACAATGGCTAAGTAATGGAGCTGCCCAGCCGCGGTGCGGCTTTAAAGCTCAGCTCCCAAAAACCTGGCAAAACTGTGACAAATGGTTTCTGACGACTTCATGCCAAGACATGCCGCTCGTAGAGCAGTCCAGACAACATTTCTTGGGGCCATATAAGCGCAGGCTGCGCGCGCACATTTCGGTCATTTATCATGCTTACATGCTAATGACATCTGGCCAGGGCCCAGAAGAAACAATTCGCGGCCCAAGCCGCATAACTTCAAGTGCTCGCGCCGAGTCGCTGTTTGTTGTTATATAAGGTTATATATAATTATATTTTAACGGTTAAAAATGAAACACTCAGAGCATTGTGGTTGTGTGTGTGCTGTGTGGGTTTCTGTTTGGCTAGCGCTTAATTCTGTCAATACAGGCTGCTCGCCGCATGGCCTTTTCAGAATTTATGTAAATCATTCAACACACTTTAAACTGGCCACAATGACAAAGCCGAAATGGACAGAAATGATTTCTTCAAGTATTTCACGAGCAAACACTTCAGCACAAGGCAGCTCGCTGCAGCGGGTAGACAAAATGGTATCTGTGAGATACGTACGTATCTAGATACACTTGTGTTTGTGTGTGTGTATGTATGTATATACTGTTTTGACCACGGCATAGACTTTATGCCTCGGGGGACATTTAATTAGACTGGCTTCATTCCAAGCGTTCACACGCCAAGCTGGCCAAATAAACCTGCAGTTTATGGCCAACATAATTAAGTTAAAAGCTTTTTTACAGCTCGGCCTGCGCGCTTTTAAATTGATAATGAAAATAAGGAAAACCCATGAAGCGTACTTAATAGCTAAATAAATGCTGCCAGCTAGATTTTTGCCACACCCACACCTGTAAAAGAGCTTAAAGACAACATTTCCCTGGTAAATGGTAAATGAAAATCGGCCGTTTTCCTAATGACAGTTCATTGATTTAGCCTGTCAACTGATATTGAAAAAGGGTAGAAATCGCAAAAAAGGTAAAAACAGTTTGATATAAGAACGAATTTTAAATTCCCTTAATTTTTTATACCTAACACCTTCTACCAAACCTGTAATTTTGATCGATTATGATATCGAAAAGCTTCCTGCAAGTTCCATCAATAGACTTGATTTGTTAGTAAAATAAATGCCTCAAAAGAGACTCGTTTATTATAGTCGGCCATATACCCTTTTTGGCAAGTGTATAAAAAGGGTGCAATTAATAAAAAGGTTGAGCCCGAAAGTTGAACCTTTTTACCTTTTGGCAAAACTCAGCGCAGTATCTTTTGGGGTTTGGGAGTAATTACTTTATCTGTTGCTAAAGTTGCGCTTTGGTTGCTAATAGGATTATCTAACAGACAAAATAAAAAAGTAAAATACAGAACTGGCTGGCTAAAAAGCCTCGGCATGAATTTTGTGGCAGTCGC